TATACAGCATGTGCCCATCACTGCCCATAGCAGTGCTGATGGCAGAGGTGTGCCAGGCACGGTGACCCACGCCGCTGCAGAGACCTGGTGCAATCGCTGCCCTGCCATGGGGGGCACTGACGATGCATCGGCCTAATTATTGGCAGTAAGATGCCCCAGAATATCCATACCCTGGAAATTCCTGCTCCAACACCCCAGGCCACACATCTGGTGCAAAAAGGTACCTGGTCTGAAAATCATGGTATGCACCGGGGAGGATGAGCATGCTCATGGGGTGGTTGCCCTTTGCTAGGTAGCAAAGTCTTTCGCTACACCAGGTAGTAAAGCATCTCAGTGCTTCAGTGGGGAAGTGATGATGCCCATCACCCTGAGAGCAGGCAAATCCGAGCGAATATTTCCATCCTACAGGTAGGGAAACTGAGGTGCACTCTGTGCAGGCGGTGGGCTGAGGCTTCACATTGTCCCTGCCCCTCTGAGGCACCCAGGATTATGGAGCAAAAGGAGAAGGTGCCACGGAAATGTCTGCGTTCCTATTTTTTCCTGCTTTCCAGACATGCCTCAAATAGTTTCCCTTTTCTCTTGGACAAAACATTGAGCAAGGGTGGAATTAGAAAAGAAAAAAAGAGAGCAAGAGACTCCTGAAGTGCTCCCTTCCAGCGCCGTCCTGCCGAATGCCACCTCCCAAAGCTGCCGAATTCCGATAATTTAGCATAATGCACCCACAGTGCTTGGGAAAGCAGCGCTCTCACCTGGATTACAGCAGGCCATTTTCTCCTGTGGAGGCCAGCTCTGCAAGAACCGTGGCATTCCCCGAGCTGGGGGTGGGCAGGGAAGGCTTTTGATTTTCGGTGCTGCTGTTTTGCCTTTTTAAAATGCTGATGGTTGGGGATTTGGGGACAATGAGTGCAAGTGCCACCCCCTGTGCTTGACACCTCATGGTGCTCGAGGGCTTTGCAGCCCAAAGCAGCTCTCTCGGGGCAAGGAAGGGGCAGATGTGCTGGTCAGTTGGTGACGGAGGGGTGGTGGGTGCAACTCTGCGCTCTTGGGAGGAGACCTGGAGCATCCTGGGCATTGGAGCATCTCAGCCATCGGCAGTCTGCAGGGATATTTTAGGGGGGGGTCTCAGTCCTGGAAAAGAAGTAGAGATGCTGGGATCACAGCCAAGGTGGGGACTTGGGGACCAGGAGAGGCTTGAGGACTCCCAGGCCAGCCCACAGAGCCTGCCAGCACCTGCAGGCAGAGAGGCTGAAGGCAACAAATGACCATCATCATCTCAGCCTCCAGCTGGGGACACTGGGCTGTGATGGGAGCCATGGCTGTTTCCCTGGAGGAGCCCATTCCCACGCAGTCCCTGGCCAGACCAGGGCACAGGGGACAAGGAGGCTGCAGGGAACCCACAGGGACTTAGTGGCAGCTGGAGTTGCCCACCCCGCAGAGGCAGGAGGTGAAGGAAATAATGCCTTTTATTTTCTTAATACAAATTTCTATACCTTCTGTAAACAGTGGCAGCAACCCCTTTTATGTGCTAAATCCTGCTTCAAAGCTGATGTTGCTAAAGGCTACCTTCACTGCCTGCCTTTGTGGCACGGGAAGAAAGCCCCAGCTGAGATGCACAGAGGGAGCGGGGCGAGGGCAGTGGATCTTGCTTAGCTCAGTGCATTTTGGGACAGCTATCAGCACCCAGCCACATCCACCCCATGGGACCATCACCAGGTCCCCCCAGAGCAGGACACATGGGGACACAGCCCCAAACAAGCCACTTGCTGGTCCTGCTGCCAGCACTGGGACCTGGGGTATTCGATGCCCAAGGAAGAGCCAGAGCCCAGAGCTGGGGCAAGGGTTTAATTTTTCACCTTCCTGATGGTTATAGCTGATGAAATCTCTTCAGGAAGATGCTCTCCCCCCATTGCTCCTACCACATCCTTTCTGAGCAGGTGCCCAGCACATGCAGTAGCTGCATCACGTGTGTGTGGTGGCACAGCCGGGTTCCTGGCTTTGTTTGTAACTTCATGTGAGCAGCCAGAGATGCGGCAACCTCAAGCCAGCCGAAAAAGGGACTCACCAGGCTGAGAAAGCAGCTTGCCCTGGGGATGAGGGTAATGCTGCTGCTGGGGTCGCTCCATCACTGCAGCCCCCACTTAGATCTGGGCACATTTAAGGGTAAACCAAAGCACAGGAGGGTGCAGACCCAAATTGTAGCAAGTGCTTAAGCACAGGCTTTGTGTCAAGCGTGAGAAGAGTCCCAGGTGTTCACTGGGGTTACTTGCGTTCAAGACCAATCCAGCCGGACCACAGCCTCGGAGCAAGGTTTGTTGAGGTAGCAGGAGCCTGAAGTGCAGTTTAGCAGCTCTGGGCTTTGCAGAAGACCCTGTCTCTGGTAAGTGACCAAATTCTTACTGAAATCCAGAAATTAAAATTCTTACTGAATTTCTAGTGCTTCCAAATAGATGCTGTAGGTGCATCTTTAAATACTTAAGGGATTTTGTGAAGAGCTGCCCCCATAAGGGTAAGCCAAAGGCTTCTCCTGATACAGAAGTAGAGACTTGGGCAAACACCGATCTCAGGCTGCCCAACTCTCAAAGATTGTCTTTTAATTAAAACTTTTTTTTCTACCCCTCAACAATTTGCTTGCAACAATCAATCACCTGCTTTGAAAATGGCAGGAACGAAAGCAGGGAACGCCCACTTAATTATATCAAAACCCCACCCTAATGCCCTATGCACACACAGAAACTTCCCCGTAGGGCAGGTGCCAGCCCCGTACCTTCAGCATCACCCGAGGCACTCACGCACACAACCTCGAAGGATTTTTGTCTTTCCCATTGCAGGGAACGTCCCTTACTGCACACAATGAAAATTTATACCTCAGCCAAAAGTTTTCCATGTACCTCCATCTCCAAGGGCCTGTCTTCAGGTATTTAAGGAAGAAATGTTTCTCCCAGAGGGCTCACTAAAACCACACTCACTTCATTAGGAGCAGCCTTGGCAGCCAGACAGCAAAAGCCAGAGTCACTTTTTAAACTCTTGGCCTAGACTTTATCATTTGCAGATTTTCTTAAAGGTATTCTTGAGCTAATTATCCCCTATTAGCAAACATCTTGCCTAGCCTGGTTTGTTTCTGTACTAAGATTAAGCAGCAAAAGGGATTAGAAATGTTATTATGAGAGCCTAAGATGTTAAAGCACTAAATGTATATAGCTGAAAAAGGCTTTTCCTTCTAAAGAAATTAAATATCACTTCCGCAGAGCTTTCTCATGCTGCTGTAGTAATATGACATTTGATAAAGTCTGAGCCACTCATCAAGCCCTGACCCTTCTCAAACTCTACGGAACTATTTTGTGTTGAAAGCAACTCTTATGATCTATTGCCCTTTCATCTTTTTAATATGGCACTACAAGTTTCAAATGATCAAATTATACGGAATTACTTGCACCTATGAAGTTAACATCTAGCTGCGAGAACTGCTGTTATAAGTATTGTTAGCAGTTTGAAATTTGCTAAAGAAAAGTTTTTGATAAAGCCATAACTAACCCTTTTTTTCCAGACCAAGTAAGCACTCACAAAGTAGGTTTTGCCCTTTAGTTTTTGGAACATTGCTGGCAGGCAGAGTGGGGTGCTGGGGACATCAGTTCTTCATTCAAAGCCACCTGTGCAACAGAAGAGCTTGCGGAAAGTTCAGTTTGAGCAATTTGCTAATGGCCTAAGTCCAAAATTGGGATATTATTCAGGAACATCTACAAAATTCCTGCTAGAAGCTGCCTGCCTTCTTCCCCATGTCCACAGGGATGCTGGGGACACACCGGCAGAGCAGCCCCCACCACTCTTTGGTGTTTCCAAGCTCAGAGCTCCTCAGAAGCACATCCTGCACTTTTTTTCTTTTATAAAGGTTCCTCCCCAAGCACAGGTGTTTTATTAGGAGGAAAAACTCCCAGAAAATATGCTGAGAAGAGACAAGCCGAGGCTTCAGCCTCAACTCCACATTGCTCTGAGTCTAATTAATGAAGCCGGACAGGGAAAGCAAGTGCTAGGAAATTTCAATTAGATGGCAGAGACAGTCTGGACACTGCAAACTCAGAGCAGACAGGGTTTCTCTACAGCAGTTCCCTTCCAGGAGAGGGCCATACACAAACTGAACCTTCAATCCACAACTGGAAATGCCCAAGCTATAATTCCCCCTGCATTTTGGGGGGACATCAAGACAAACATGCAGCTGTGCAGTGCCCAGAGCAAAGACTGGTTCATGCTATCAAAGTCCTTAACGTCCTTGTCCCACCTAGGTCAGACTAACACCTTCCTCTTTAGAAAGTCATGGTTCGTGACTGAAATCCCAAATTCACAATCAGGGATCATGAAATCAAAGAACCAGAAGTAAACAGCTGGGACAGCTTCACATTCTCCTGCTGAGTGTGCTGGACTAGAAAAACACGTGTAAAAGCATCATGCTTCTTCCCCCTTCATTCCCCAAAGGTACCGTAAGAAAGGCCAACGGTGTGAAAGATGAAACAATTGAACTGATGATCTACAGAATAAAGCAGAGAGCAGAAAAGCACACTTTCTGTGCCAGCCACACTTACCTCCAGCATCAGCTGTATAATGCGTAAAATGTTGTGGGACAAACAATGATTTCAGTTGACTTGAGTCAAGTGAGTTAAGTGGGTGAAAAATTGTCCTCTCTGTATTATGGAAGCTGAAGCTTACTATGGTTCATTTATAGAGACAGTGGAAAACAGGCTTGTCACCTTCGTTATTGCTTCTGGTTCATTTTCCTGTATTATTCTCCTTATTGCAATGTTAAACCACCAAACAACGCAGTAAGTGTTTCTAGAGAAACAAGTTATTTTAACTCTATTGTATTTGAGTGTCATGACTATATTAATATTGAAGTGGCTTTCTAAACCAAGAACCCATTCTCTGCAAGTAACTTCTGCAAATTCAAGCTTACACCAATTGATATAAAACACTGACAAATCACAACATGACTTCATGTAACCACCACCAAATGTCATCAAGCAAAAATAGTCTTTATTCAAATTTCATGGAAACAGGAATCACTGTACTTTGCAAGACAGGGAAAAATAAAATAAAAAAATTTAATATAAAACAAGGATATTGTCACAATACCAGAATATGGAACTATACTTCTTTTCCCTATGGATTACTGCAAGTACCTATATTTTCTTTTTCCTTTTGACTGTGCTATTCACAACTTTGTAAGTCCAAAAAATATGAAACAGAAGTAGTATGAAACCTAAGACTTAGCACTTCCACTAAATGGCATACATCAAAGGGCATCAATTCAAGGGCAAAGACTGTTGAAGCCATCATACCTACCTATCAGTCATCACTGCAATCTCATAAACCCACCAAGGTGCAGTGCTCATTCTCTGCAAGGCTCTTCCTGGAAAACAGGGCAATTTTGGTGCTCTAGGAAGAGTTATATTTAAAGAGAACATTTCTATAGGATAGAAAATGAGCTGAACAGCCTTGCATCAGAAAGCATTGCAGGGAAGGAGCACTACAGTTAATAATGACAGACATACCATCAGGGTTGTTAAAAATATACAGCATCGACATGTTTTCTACTTCAATCACTTGCGCTACAACTACTAAACATGTACAAAAGACTTTTCCAACCATTCCAAGTGTGGCTGCAGCAAGGTTAGGATCTGGAGCGAGACCTTGACCGCGATCGGGAGTGTGACCTAGAGGGAGACCTAGATCTAGACTTGGACCGGGACCTAGGCTTTGAAACAGATTTAGACCTGGAACGAGAATCTGACTTGACATTTGGTTTTGACCTGGAAATCGACCTAGACCTGGAGCGAGACACCCGATGTCCAACTGCATCCTCACCCTCACCTTTTGCCTCCTTTTTGTCAGAATCTGCTTTTAGATGCTCCTTTTCTTTGGAGACTGACCTGGACCGCTCGTGGCTGTCCTTCCTTTTCTTCTTGCTACTTGGTTTGCTGTCTCGCTTGCTGCGTCTCTTGCTTTTCTCACTCTTGCTGCGGCTCCTGCTTCTACTTCTGCTGTCATCCCTGCTTCTCTTCCTACTTTTCCTTTTATCCTTACTGTGGCTCCTGCTCCTACTCTCATCCCTGCTCTTGCTCCTGCTTCTAGCCTTGCTAATGCTCTTCTCCCTGTCTTTGCTTCTACTCTTCTCCTTGCTCCTACTCCTCATGCTCTCCCTCATCTCTCCCCTGTCCTTACTCCCACTCCTGCTCCTACTCTTTTCCTTGCTGTGGCTCCTGCTCTTTGCTTTCTCATCACTGTTATGGAGAGTGCCCTCAGGTTTATCTTTACTTTTGTTTCGGGATTTCTCTGCACTCCTGCTGCGGCTCCTACTTTTATCCTCTTTACTTGGAGTCCTGCTTTTCTCTTTTTGGCCTCTGCTACGGCTCTTGCTTCGACTACGGCTCTTGCTTCTGGAACGGGACACAGACCTGAAAGCACAAAGGCAACAGACAGCTCCACTTTCGTGCGGCTTGGATTTGACTAGCACTTAAATAGCATGCATAATATGGTAGGGAAAAGAAAAACAAACAGTGTTCCTACTGTAGATTTAGGATGCTGCTTCTCATTTAAGTGGGTAGCCCCCATTTCTTCCAACACAAAGACATACCTGGATCTTGATCTACTCTTGGAGCGACTACTACTGGCACTGCGGCTCCTGCTCTTATGAGAATGTCTGCTTCGAGAGCGAGACCTGGAACAAAATCAACCAGCTTAACATTAGCACACGCTCACAAAGAACTTGTCATCCCCCAGTCCCCTGTGGGTAAAACCCCATAGTATTAAAGCACCTTTCAAGCAGCTGAATGGTGATAGTGTTACACAGTAAAGTTACAAACTTAGAGTACCCTTCTCCCCACTGCTCATCCCCTGCTGCTATGTCTGGAAGCGAGCAGCGTTGCTAATCTGGAAGAAAATAGGCAACCTTATTTAAGATAAGGAAACGAGAATCACTTTCCCAATCAAGTCAGAGGTTGAATACAGTGAGACACTAGGATAAAGCTTTGACTTCAGGCTTCGATTTCATAAGCAAGCTGTTCTGTGAACAGTAGAAGTTTGCCTGAGTTTTCTTGCAACAAGTTCTACTCCAGAATGGAAAGGGGAAATACTTGGTGGCGTGTGCTGAAGCAGTTCGCTTGATCACACAACGAAAGCAGCAAATCTCTAAGAAACAGGGAATGGGTGGGGGGTTCCAAGCTGAGAAAGTACTGTTAGTCCTGGTGCTTATAGCAGAACACAGTGTTCAGAGCTGAAGTGTTAAAAGCACCTTCTGTTTCATTCTGTATGCACAGCTCCACCTGCAAGACAGCAAGAACTACAGACTTGATGTAGTTTGGGAAGAACAGTAGCACGCCGTCAGGTGTTTAGCTAGCAGATACACACATTCATCAAGGAAGACACCTCTGAACAGAAGCCTCATTTCCCTTGGTTACTTGCAGGTAATTAATACATTCTCAAAAACTAGATTTATTGAGAACTCTGAACACTTCCAAGGTGTTTTTGAACCTGCTGCATATTCATGTAATTGCAGCTAGATTCAGCCTGAGCTATGTGATAAAGAGACGTACCTCGAATGGCTTCGGCTTCTGGAGTAAGAGCGGCGCCGTCTCGATCCAGGTCTGTCTTCCACTAATCTAATCTTTCTGCCATTTACTTCTGTCCCGTCCAGCTTTTCAAGGGCTCTTTTCATGTCAGAATAGGATTTGAACTCAATCACACCTTCATTTTTCCTTCCTTTGTGTGCATCTGCATATGTCACTTCCCCTGCCTGACGCATATAATCCTAGAGGAAGAGGACAGAATAACCATTGCCTCGAATCCACAGTCAGGCTTCCAGGCTGACCCTGTTCATTTTTGCAATGATTCTCACTTAGCCTCTTCTATTCACACAGATGTCAGCAAGGGTTTTAGCACTGCAAATGCTGTTTGGTTAACGCCAAGGTTGCTGAGCAAGCCAAATAACACACTACGATTTCACAGAGTTTGTGTGATTAGAACCAAAGTGGTGTTGATAGTTTTGAGCCAAACAATAATTTAAGGTCTCTCATCTCGAGTCTAGTATCAAATATGCTCTGGACTATGATAAGTTTCAAATTACAAAAGCGATTAAAGAAGTAAAATGCTTGCTCTCTAAATCATGTTTTCAAAGCTAACTTGGGAAAGGTGATAAACTTAAAGGTTGAATAAGAAGAGGCAAGAAGACTACAGGCAAGCAGACTTCCCTTTGTCCTCTACCTAGGTAACACATCTCATTCTACTGGAAGAAGCCGCCACACGAGTAAAAGCTCAATTCATTTTCCCACTTCATGCTTCCTGGCTTCTCTGTTTCAATTACTGAACACCTCTGTTTATCAAGGAGGGCCATTCTGCCCTGCTTCAAGCAAGCTGTCAGACAGGGCCATCTTTCAGCTGCTGTGGACTTTGGCTGCAATGGAAATGGGGCACAGAACTCCGGTTCAGTCTGTTTTCAACCCAACTACTCCCATCTTAAATACACTGAAATGAAAGTTATTAAAAAAAAGCAATGCATCCAGTAGAGGATTAATCATGCCATGCTCTACTTACAATTTTTAATACCAGAAGCAAAGACAAGCTATTGATGGTGTGAAGCATTAACAACAAAAGACATTTGAAGAATCTCAGTACGTACCTGAACTAGTGTTACATATTCAATTACAGACCAGTTTCTACTACGTCAAAGTTTGTTTAGAACAAATTTTACACATCCTTAAAAGAGAACCATAAAAGAAAGCGTTCCTGTAAGAACAAGTGCTTTTAACCATTGCTGCTAAGTTTGACAAGGAAACACTGTTTTGCACCTACTATCAAAATTCTGCTCCCTGTCCTGCCCCCTCAATCCATGATGTAGATAATCACAAGTCAACACTTCACCTCCAGGATACTCAGAGGTACTGTGGGCTTCACAGTGTTACCCAACACTTCCACTGCTGAGAATCACTTTCCACTCCTTTGGACTTAAGAAAATACTAGCTTCTGGCAGAGGTTTTGCATGATTGCTCATTCTGGAAGCATCCTTTCCCTGAAACTCTCTTTAAAACAGCTTTACATGGTGTGGACATTCTTAACAGAGACTGTGCAAGAACGATGCAATCATTTCCAAATAGCTCTAGCACCTTACAAGTTGATGAGTAAAATCTGAAGTGACAAGGGCAAACTCCTCCATCTCTAGTGAATCCTGCCACCGGCAGGATTCAAGTCTGTTTTGACAGGGGTTAAAGATAAGATAAAACACATCTGTACATGATGTTGGTTTGTGTTAAGGAAAAAAGTTATTCTCCCACTGTCCAGTGACACGAAGTCTGCAGGTGCAATTCCCAATGTCGCATTAATGATTGCATATATGCAAATACACTTCTGTATTGACTTAATGTGTGTATTACTTCCAAAATCTACTTGTATACATATGAGCACACAGACTTATTAACAAGTTGGAGTCAAGAACACAGGTGTATACCATTTTTCCTTGTTGAAACGGAAGCTAACTTTTTTACCCTTTGTGCTCTTTAATAGAGAGAGGGTAAAGAAAGGAGCCCCATACCTTAAGGTCTTGCCAACTGCAGCGGCTTGACAAATTTTCCACAATCAATCTGTATTCTGTACGGGTAGGAGGACCGTACTTATCTCTTCCGCTTCTTCTATAACCATATCCACCTTTAGGAGGTGACAAGCAGACAGCAGTACTTCAACTAGGGAAATGGAGCGCTCACTCTACATCCCGGACGAAAACTGTTCTGCCCCGTATGTTCGCAAAGACATTAAAAATTCACCCACCCACTAGTCTGAATTCGATCCCCCTTGTATAAAATGTTACAAAGATCCAAAGCATTAAACAACTTTTACTACAAGCACATAATTAAAACAATGCACATAATTATAATTACATTACAATTAACATGCAATTAAATTTAAAGTTATTTTTAAAACAGTTTGAAAGAAGAAACCGAATTAAGCCAGTTTACTAATGTTACTTACATTGCTTAAAGGCTTTCTGAATATCTGACATGAATAAAGCTTTTCAGGCACCTATTTCAGATTAATCTCATCTGTCTCTAACCCTTGGGATCCTCACCACCCAGGTCTAATGGGAAAAGGTTGCGGTCGTCACATGGCTTCCTTTTTTGGTCAGCCAAGGGCCACAAAGGTCAAAGAGCCACTCATGGAAAGGTAACCCAAGGTCAGCAAATGGAACAGGCAGTCATCTTAGCCTCAAAGGACTCTTTTAATTAAAACATTGAGGTCTTTGTTAAATCTATGTTAAACATCACATTGCAAATAAACCATTCAAATAGTTAAATGAAATGATAATAATAAAAATGGTACAAGAAACTGTGTTTATTAATTTATCAATTAAAATAGTTTAATACAACAAACAAGTTAAATATTCAGATCAACAGTTACATTTACATTTACAGAACACTATTCACAACTTCATATCATTTTCTTTTAAAATTACTTTTTAAAAAATGAGCAAAAAATGTTTTATTTAAAATAAGTCACAGATACAAATGCATGTTAGTGCTTACTGCGTCCAGAACCGTAACTGCTGTCACGACGTGGGCCTCTGGCATGCTCAACGATCACTCTCTCCCCACAAAGATCTTTACCATTTAGCTCATAAACAGCATCATCTGCATCTCGCAGATCATCAAACTCAACAAAGCCGTACCTAGAGAGAGGGAGAGAAAAAGAATCACTGGGAAGGAACTGAACTCGAGTTATCTGTGCTCAAAACCAACTTGCATCCCACAGCAGGTTTCTGCAGGGCCCGAAGAACGCGCCTCTCTGCATGCTCTTCTTTAGATGAACAGTGGTTGCAACCTCCTGAAGGCTACCTAAGGGTTCAAAGGCCATGAACACTATACCCACAAACCCACTAAATATGGCACTATGCTGCACCGTATTCAATAAATAATACAATAAATTTGCTCAACAGCAGTGAGGCTGAAATGGCATTTGACAGCTATTGCAGTATATATGTTCCATGGATTAGGATTTATCCTGATTTTTGAGAAGTCCTGGGTTCATTCCTAGTTCTATTACGAAGCTATCTTAATTCCTATACTTCAAAGGGAAATATTCATTCATCTCTGCAAACACAAGTGGTCTGTACACCCTGCATGAAAGGTCCAACAAGAAAGAAAATACAAAGGCAGGTTAGGAAAAGGGATTTTGTTTTAATCAGACTCATTTTACTATTGACTGTGGACAGTACTGATGGTTTGGGTAAGAAAGGCAACGTGCTCATGCAACAGGACAGATCTTCCACCTGCTGAGATACTTGCAGCTTCCCATGTACTGCTGAGAAAGTGTTTTATGCCCACTGTATTTCCAATATCCTAGCATTTAAGAGAGCATGGCGAGTCCAAAACTTGTTAAGAGACTTAAAAAAAACCACAGCAGCAGTAACCAGGAACAAATTTCCCGGGCAAATGAAGAGTCCACCTGCAGCCAAGAGGCCTTGCAAGGGCAGCACAGGGTGCAGGTCCAGAGATGAGCAAAGTTTTGTGTTTGAAAACACCTGCTGCATTAGGCTTGCTCAAGACTTGGAAGTCACACACAGATCAAGCACAAGAGGAAGGATACAAATTGAAAAAAATAGATTGTTAATTTCAACATTCAAATGAACCTTGTGTCATCAGTTCCCTATTACCAAAAAATGAACACAATACAGAGACGAAAGCTCACAGACCACTGCTTGCCTGAAAAGTTAAAGCATTTTCAGTTTAAGCTTCAGAGGTGCCACAGGCATCAAAGCCAACATCAGGCTGCTGCAAGTGCCTAATCCCTGTTGGCTAGAGATCCCAAAAGACTGAATGTAGGGTTTTAAAATAATTTCTCACAGCTGGTGCTCAGGAACAAGCTGGTGACTTGCTTACAGTTGCAGAGCAAATTCACAGCAGCACTGAAGCAAAACTCAAGCCTGCCAATTTCTAACCTGACAAGAGTTAAACACCTATTTAAAAAACAGCATTGTGTAAATACCCATTATCCCAACAGGTCAGGGGAAGAGCACAAAAAGCATCAGAGTGCTGTTTATCATAGTTCAGAGCCTACCTGTGTTTGAAATGACTTCTCCTTCCATTACCTGCCAAGACCAGATCCGGGCTCCAGAGTCCCCCAGGCAATAGCCAAGGATGCTGCAGCCCCGTGCACAACTGGGAGCCTCTTTTCACCTGCAACCTCTCTGGCTGCTGTAAGCAAACACATAATCCTGAACTCGGGTCTTAGCAAGTCTCAGGGGGAAATTTTTGTGAGTGCTAGTGTATTAAATAATCCAGAAGAACAAAGCCCTGATACAAAAATGCTGGCCTCCTCTTTTAGGTAATTTCATTTTCAAGCTTTCTCAGTACCTCTCCCAACCACAGCGCTACCAGCAGCTACAGCTCTGCTGTGTAATGATACCTGTATTAACAAAATACTTAAGAATGACTCCAAACACCACAAATAAGATGGCTGCTTTTGCATGCAATTGCTGTAGTTTCATGGAAGAAACAAGTGTGATTGATTTATAACAACTGAAACAATCACAGGCATAAAACCATTCAAATTGCAACTTTCTTCCCTTCAATTCCAAAAATAAAGCAAGCGAGCGTAAACGTTTAAACAAGATCTCACCCTAAAAGCAATTACTTACAAGGTGAAGTGGCTGGTACGCACCAGCACTTTCCAGACAGTAAATGCACAGACATTTGAAGCTAGAATAATGGAGGAATATCTGAATTCAATCAGAGCACAGTATTGAACTTGTTCTTCCCAGAAGTGCACCCAGAAGTTGCTTGGGAGGCACTCGGTCACCCATATCACACGCCAGATAAAAACCAGCACCTCCAGCAGCGCCTCGCTACGCAGCACCAGTGGGCTGACACCAGTTCCTCCACTTGGCCTCCCACGGGAATTTGCTCCCAAGATGGTCCTACATTGACAGGACTTCGTCTGGCCAAACAGTGATGGAAAGCGTTAACACTTTTTCTTCTCTTCACTCATTCCAAAAGGGAATGCTTATCATTTACCCTATGCTGTTCGTCTTTTTCATCTGGGAATATGTAAAATGCAAGTAGCCCTAGAATAAAATGTTACTCTGATAAGAAGAGGAAAAAACAAAAGTTACAAGAAGAAACTTCTAATTTCTTTTTTAAGACAAACAAGCGAACTCATACAAACCTTGAGATTACTTGCACTTAATGAATACTAAAAATCATACCCCACATCACTCATAAATGAAAGTAATACTGATCCACCTGTTAAATATGTGTAATATTGCACCGTACGACCTAAAAACATGAATCAAAAACCTCCAGAAGCACAGTTTTACACCACAGAAAGCCACAATTGCTGACACAGCCTTAACTACAGCAATCTGAACCTGCTGTTATATGACAATGGTGCAAGTAAATCTTCTTTTAAATGCCTACTATTACTACTTCATATGTGGCATAAAACTACTTACTAAAAATGTCAATGCAATTTACTTCAGCTAATGTGAAGCTACACCATTTTCTGTTCACGTATCAAAAAAGGAAAAAACTACAGGAGTATGTCCTTATCCCAAGCAATTCCAATAGACTGAACCACCTAAAAAGTGGGAGTTTTGTTTTTTAAATCCAAAGTGAAAGCAAAAATGTGGTTTTCTAAAATTGCTTAATACCTGAAATAAAAGGCAGACCCTCATCTTTCTCTTCCTTTCAGCTGCTCCCCCACCTGCATCACTTTGAAAGCCCGCTGGATCCTCCCAGCTGGCTCTGTGCCCGCTCTCCATGCCAGCCCACCGGGACCAGCACAAAGCCCACCTCTATGACATTACCCGCGTGCCAATTTTTTCCCACTACTCATCAACAGCTGGTGCTGGAGCCCAAAAGCATGAGTCCCATGAGCTGAGAAGATCCTCAAAGCTGCTGTCCCTGCCTTTTGCCAGCACAGGCTAGAAATCCGTGAAGTTCGGGCTGCAATCTGTCTGAGCTTGTCCTGCAGCTGCAGGGTTGATTCAGCAGCTGCTTTGCAGGTTCCCAACAAAGAGAGACCTGCTCAACTCTTGCCCCGCTCCTCTCTCAACAAATCAAGTTGACCGCCTGGCAGCTTTCCGAATTTTATATTACACAATTGCTTCATATGGACAGATACTCTCAAAATGAGCTCACTGCACCTCCACCGTTCCTCCTGCATCTCTGGATGAGCGAGGTCAGGGCAAACAGGCATCAACACAGGCAGCCGCAGAGAAGGAAATGCATGGAAAACTGATTCCTGGCTTCAGCTTCATTTGGAATAAAGAATGAAATACGTCCAGCCCTAAAAAACACTCCTGAAAGGTAACTTGTAGGCAGTTCACAAACCACTCGGGCTGCTTGCTCAAGCAGTACGCTCACCCACACCGTAGCCAGGAAGGGGAATGGCAGAGATGCAGGCAGCACTCTGCGTGCCAGTTCTCCTGCTCAGACCAGGCTACAGCCAGGAGCAGGGCATTATCAAGGAAAAGCATCTTCAGACCGCTTGAAACAAAACACTCATTTAAACGAGTCACTGAAGTTACAACCTCAAAACATACTTGATTTTCAATATTTAAACTACTTAAATGTAAGAAGTGGTAGTGATTCTTCCAAGTTTCTGCACTAATGACAAACACCGCTGAGAA